TAGTTTGACCGAGTTGGTTGTTCCTGGTCGGTGGGATCATCGATGATAAAGATTCTGCCAATTTTTGGTATTTAGCTTGAAATACAATGTAAGAGCATTTCATCAATTATCATTTTTACGATTTTCTTTATGTATATAAACTTATCCTTGTATGTATGTTTATTGTTTAATAATTATAAAATCCGATGTCTAGGTTATCGGCAAATGAATATGAATACATTGTCTGTTTTTTTCAAGCCTGTATATTTAAGGGAAATAACCGTAAATAAAATTGATTTGACAAAACCTATGTTATTTGTTATACCTCTACCATAGTGATGCACATTTCCATCCATCCATTTGTCCTTCTGTCTCAAATTTGCTTTCCACTCTGGGTTTCTAGATGATTAATTACAGCTTGACCAAATCTTTTGAAATATTAAGGCAATGTCATGGACAACTATAAAATCAGGTCAAGTTCGATTTTAAAAGTTTGGAACTAGTACTTTTGAAAAAAAATACCTTGGTTACCTTTAAAGTCTGGGTTTCATATATTCCATGCCAATACTGCTTGACCAAATTTTTTGAAATAAACATAATAATCATAGTACCACTTGATCCCATCTTCAGAACTTTGTTCACAATTTTATTGATCATCGAATACAAGTCAGGGTCCACTTCAAAGGTTTTGACATTGACCATGTAAGAGTTATATGTCCCTTATTTACCATAAACATTTAATTTCTCATCACTTGGCATCCGTCATTGTTAATTTAAAAAAAATCTCTGAAACTGCTGGGCCAAATTTAATTAAACTTGGCCACAATTATCATTGAGGTATTCAGTTGAGTGCCTGCCAACCAACATGGTCAACAAGGTTTAAATAGAACAGAGGGGTAAAATGCAAATTTTGTATTATCTTGCAAATCTGACGGTGCAGAAATGTTCAGAATGCTGAGATCTATACCAATTGTCTATTTACATCAAAACTGTTGTACGAATTCTTATTTGAGATATTGTCATAAAATGACAAATTTTACCTTATTTTTCATTTTTTCCTATTATCATGATTATCTTGAAAACTATTATAGATAGCAAAACTGACCAGCAAGAACTTCAAAGAGTCAACATGACTGAAGTGGTCTTGACGACTTCTTAATTGACTAATTGTGACCCATTAAGGGTGATTTTTTGGTATTCTTTGTGTTTTGGGGTAATATCGTAAAACTTATAATAGATCTATAGATAGAAACTAATGACCAGCAAGACAATTCCATGGGACTTCTTTTAAACTGAGTTTTACTGTGCGTATTGCTGTGTATTTGTTTATTCTACATTGGCTTGAGGTATAGGGAGAGAGGGTCGAGATCTCACAAAACATAATTAACGCCGCCGCATTTTTGCGCCTGTCCCAAGTCAGAAGCCTCTGGCCTTTGTTAGTCTTGTATGTTTTTTTAATTTTAGTTCATTTATATGTTTTGGAGTTTAGTGTGACGTCCATTTTCACTGAACTAGTACACATTTTTGTTTAGGGGCCAGCTGAAGCCCGCCTCTGGATGCGGGATTTTCTCGCTGTGTTGAAGACCCATTGGTGGCCTTGGGCTGTTTTCTGCTCTTTGGTCGGGTTGTCTCTTTGACACATTCCCCATTTCCATTCTCAATTTTAATATCTGTTTCTCAGATGACGACGGATATGTTCCAATTGTCGTAACTACAATCCCGTCACCTTTCCCCGAATGTGACCTACCAAATTAGACTTATCATCGGGTTTTTACTTACACGAGCAACACGACGGGTGCTACATGTGGAACAGGAATTTCTTACTCTTCTATAGAACCTAAGATCACCCACAGTTTTTGATGGGGTTCTTGTTGCTTAGTCTTTAGTTTTCTATGTTGTGTTTTGCGTACTGTTGTTTGTCAGTTTCTCTTTTTCTTGATTTAGCCATGGCGTTGTTAGTTTATTTTCGAGTTTGAATGTCCCTTTGGTATCTTTCACCTCTCTTTTAACAATTTTTAGTGTTTTTGTTCATTTTCGTGAAAACTGTAACAGCTAGATAGACACTTAAGGTAACAAAATGATCAGCAAGACAAGATCTACAAATAAGTCAAATTTTGCTAAAATCGTTATTTAATAGACTTTTTTTTTGAAGTGGGATTGAATTTTTTTTACTGTTTTTGTGTTATAAGGTAAAAACTAAAGAAGACAGAGAAACTATAAACATAGAAAATGATCAACAAAAAAGCGATTTGTGTTATGATTCTATTCTAGCCCAGAGAGTGTCCATAATTCAAGATGCACATATACCTTAGGTGAGCAACACAGTCAGGCTCTTTGGAGCCTCTTATTCTTATTTCCAGATGATAATGAAAGTACTGTTTGACAAAAACTTCAAAATCACTCCGTAATATGATGGATGTCATCCATTTTCTTCAATTTCTGCAAGGGGGATGGAACATGACCCTCAATTTTTGTTGCATTGCACCTCAGCATACATGAAAGTATCATTGTGACGAAATTAATGGCATTTGGTCAAGTGGAACCTCATTCTCAGTGCATGTAACCATTTAAACCCTCGTTTAACCATTATATAACCATTATTTCCCATGCATATAATCACTATAACCCTCATTTTCCATACGTTTAACCTTTTTAAGTGTAACCATCATTCCCCAGTCGCAGAAACATTGATTCCTGTTAGTTCAGCTTTTGTCATCACTTGGCGTCCGTTATTGTAAACTCTTTAAAAAATATTCTTTGAATTTACTAGGTCAAATGTAAGCAGACTTTATCTGAATGTTTATTTGGGTATCTTGTTTAAAAATTGTATACATCATGTACATGGATTTGATCCATCAACAAACATGGCCACTGTTGCTTAGAATAGAACACAAGGGTAAAATGCAGTTTTGGGCTTAGCTCTATAAAACTAAAGCAGTGAGCAAATCTGACTAAATGTAAAAATGATCAGCAGATCAAATCTATCTCCTAGTGTAATTTTCAGAAAAAATAGGACATTAATCTAGTTTGGAGTTATTGCGCCTTAAATGTCTTGCAAATTAAGATTTTTTTGTTAATGTTTTGAATACTATGATACATAGAGAGAAGCAGTAAAAATAAATAGCAACAACTTAAGATCTACAAATAAGTAAAATCATGGATGACATCATCAATTTACGCCTTATACGAGTTATTGCCCTTGAAGATGATTTTTAAACTGTTTGCAGATACGTTTACAAAGAGAAACTGTGAGAAGCAAAAATGTTCAGCAAAGTTAGATCTACATGTAAATCAACCTGTCTAAAATAGTCAATTAATCCCAAATATTTAAAGTGTATAATAAACGACGTAATATAACTGAGACTACTATAACACGTGTTATAGTAGTCATAGTCCCAAAGTAGTCTCAGAATATTTATAGAGGGTAAAAATTTACAAACTACTTTTATTGTAATATCAGATGGAAAAAAGTAGGAGCACATTAAATAAGTGAAGATAAGTTAAAATATTATAGAATATTTACCCCTACAGAAATTAAAACACCAATTTTTTTTAAGGGGGTCCATTCCCCCAAGCGCCTGTGAATATTTACTAAAAGTAAAACAAAACAAAAATTATATATATATATATATATATGTGAAGCCTAGGTGGTCGAGTGGTCTAGCGCGTCGGATACAGTGCAGGCGATTTGGTGTCACGATATCTCAGTAGCATGAGTTTGAATCCCGGCGAGGGAAGAACAAAAAAATTGCGAAAGCAAATTTACAGATCTAATATATATATATATATAAACTAGTCTTAATCGAAAACAACGTTCAAACCTATGATTGCGTTGGATAAAAACTGCAATTTTTATACGTGTGCATGTAAAACAAATTTCTTGGTAGAGGGGTCTAAATACAGCACAAGCAACATTTTCCCAAAGACCCATTGGTGGCCTTCGGCTGTTGTCTGCTTTTTGGTCGGGTTGTTGTCTCTTTGACATATTCCCCATTTCCATTCTCAATTTTATGATGGAAGATGAAATAAAAAAACACTAAAAAGACATATTTTTTTTTACATCAGACTGTTACATTTAAAAAAAATATATAGATTAACACCTCCTGTTCTGAGTTCTAAACTCTTGACCAACATTTCCTAATCTCCTGATCTTAGTTTCACAGTACAGTCCATCACATGTATGCGGGTTTGATAGAGGGGTCTAAATACAGCACAAACAACATTTTCCCAAAGACCAAAAAAGTGAAAAAGTATATTTTAACAAAACGCATTTGACTAACAGGTCGAACAACAGATGTTCTTAAATCCTGCTGACTGCCATTGGCGATTGCCAAATAAATTGATCACCAGATGTAACAAAGGATCTTAATATTAATACAATACCAAACAGAAAACAATAAACTTGCGGAAAAGATGGTATACCACAAACATGAGGTGCAAAAATTTGTACACCATATCCGGATTTCGACAATTAATGTCTTTTCAGTGATGTTAGGGATCGAAACGGTATTTGGAAGACCATATAATTTACCTCAATTTAGGATAGACTCTTGAATTTTAAAGAGTCGAAATAGGATGAACGGATCATATAAACCCGAGGGAAAATATAATACAAGCCCAAACGAAAAAATATAAACAAGTCTAAATTGAAAACAACGTTCAAACCTATGATTGCGTTGGATAAAAACCGCAATTTTTATACGTGTGTATGTAAAACAAATTTCTTGGTAGAGGGGTCTAAATACAGCATAACAACATTTTCCAAAAGACCAAAAAAGTGAAAAAGTATATTTTAACAAAACGCATTTGACCTGAGACTATATGTGTTATAGTAGTCTCAGATTTGACCAAGCAAATAATTTGACTATATATATATATAACTGTGAGTCCAATCACCAAGCGATAATGATGTAAACAACTAAAGGATAATGTACCGTAACGGTCTTCAACAAGGTCCCGTAAAAAAACGTATCTATCCGACCCGTCATGGGTTCTAAATTTAGTTTAGTCAGGGGAAATAATTTACTTTGAAAAAGAGGAAAAGAAAAACTTGAGTCATCGAACATTTCAGGTATTGAACACATAATACATTATGTCACATCTTCTTGATGGAAGTTCTAAATCAGGAATATAGTATATGAATGTACTTATAAATCAATATGGTAAAAACTTGACGTCTATGTGTTCGTTCACCCTTTTTTGTATGTAAAATACATCTTCATTATCATCATGATCATGTGCAATAAATTTGTGGTCACTTTTGCTAGAGATCTTTATGGAAAACCACAGCTGCCTTATGCTAACGATAATCATATCTTTAAGGGTTGAGATATAACATGAAGCAAATTTTCTATATCCTCTATTGGAAGTTCGTTACCCTAACTCGAAACGGAGGAAAAAATTCACACTCTTTGGGCAAATAATTAAGCCAAATATTATCCACTGCGGATGTAAATATTCTTTACTTATTTGCAAACAGTCTGATACATTTAATTGATGAATAGCTTCAGAAACATGGTCAATCTGTCTATGTTTCGTATTGTGACCCGATTGCGTAAAATAAGTAGACATGCTTGTAAGTTCGTGACCTTTGTCTTGGACGATGGCTTTTGCGCATGTGCAACAATATATAGGTCAGGCCTATTGTATTATGTATTTGAACATTACAGAATAAATTTGAGATCAAATAACAAATGAATATCTCGATAAAAAAAGAGAAATTGGGACTTACTAACTTTTTATTCTGCCTACAAAAATTATTCAAATTTTTACACATGACTTTCAATGGTCAATTGGAAAGTCCAGAATTAAACACTTTAAACATGTTCAAGATAACTATAACGATGTCACAATGTCATTAATGCATCAAAGTATTTTTTCATTCAATTTGCATTCAATGGCATAAGGATTAAATTACTTTACGAGCCAACATTCGGCAGGTTTTGTTTAATCAAAATATATCAAATCATTTTCTGATCTTAAAAAATCCACTCACATACAGACTTTAAAAAATAATACCCTTGGCCTTAAAAAAAAGGAAAACGAGGCCATAAAAAATAGATGATGACTCATTGTTGAGATGTCAATAACATTGCTGAAAGGATTTTGCCAAGAATTCAACGAAATTCTAGGAGAGGAATAAAACAGTAGTAGTGGAAATAGACGTTTAAACAAATAATATGCTAGAACATACACAACTTCTCTTTTTCAAGCTGATATTAGTGAAAGTGCAATGAAAAATATTCGGTTAAGTTTTTTTGAAGTAGCACTTTGCCAATGATAAATACTTTTGCATGACGTCACGAATAAAGTGGAAATCCCCAAATGTCACGAACTTGCAAGCATAACGAACTTGCAATCATCGACGATACTACTACAACCTTTGACTATACTACTCTGTCAATTTGCTATATCACTACATTGCACTAAGATAGATTTGATTACTATAATATAAAGGCGTTTTGATATAACATGGAGTTACCTTTTCATACTATTCTGTCATTTTACTTTGTCATAAAGATATTCTTTTATACTATGAAGACATGAAAACCTGAGTGTATTGAATGAATCTGGACTAAATGACATTACCTAATTACGTAACATGTGTAGATTTTTACCCTGGCCTGAGGGTGAGAATGAATTAACAAGTGTTAATGTTTGATTAAATAATCAACAGGTGATAGGATATTAATTACTCACTATGGCTTCTGTTTATCATGTTTATGGCACACACTAAGGATGATTAAAAGGTAAATACCAGCATTGAAAGAAAAGTGGAATGTTGTTGTCAAAACATCGATCAAAAGGTTTTTATGCTGAAAAACATTTCATAAACTTTCAACTCGGCAAAGAAATGCCTACAATTTCAAACTCCAATATTTAATGCAGACATTGAAGGACCTTCAGCATTCTCAAGAAGATCCAAACTGACAGCAGGGACAACATTGACTGAAAGACAATTTATTGCCTCCTCTATGTTAAGACTAACAACTACACAAATTGTTACCAGGATCAGGTTTACTTTAGTACAGAGTCAAGTGTATTAAAGGCAGCTAAGGCAGCTTGTACATGTTGTACTTCCTACATGACCACCAGTTCCAAGACCAGTGCTTTATTTATATCTAAAAATAACATTTATCAATGTAATATAGAGACAGTGTTTTAGCTAATATATTTTACAGTGTTTGAAACAATGACAATCTTTAGTTTTCTATGACTTAATTAATGCTTAAAAACCATGCATAACTATTGTTATTGCTATTTATCATATTATAAATGTATAGCATATTTCTTTCTTATAAATCTATGCCAATGAAACACTATGCTTTAATTTTCTCTTTGTACTCACAATAGATCATGTAGATTTAAATCCAATCAAATATATTTTTTTATCTTTAAATGATTGGTACATGTGATATATTACATTCAGATGGACATGTTTAACCCCACCACATTTTTGTGCCTGTCCCAAGTCAGGAGCTTCTGGTCTATGTTAGTCTTGTATGTTTTTTAATTTTAGTTCATTTATATGTTTTGGAGCTTAGTATGACATATGACGTCCATTTTCACTGAACTAGTACACCTACAATTTTATTTAGGGGCCAGCTGAGGACCACCTCCGGGTGTGGGATTTTCTCACTGCGTTGAAGACCCATTGGTGGCCTTCGGCTGTTGTCTGCTTTTTGCTGGGGTTGTTGTTTCTTTGACATATTCCCCATTTCCATGATTTCCATTCTCAATTTTATGATGGAAGATGAAATAAAAAAACACTAAAAAGACATTTTTTTTTTACATCAGACTGTTACATTTAAAAAAAAAATGTAGATTAACACCTCCTGTTCTGAGTTCTAAACTCTTGAACAACATTTCCTAATCTCCTGATCTTAGTTTCACAGTACAGTCCATCACATGTATGCGGGTTTGATACAAAAAGTCTGATTTAGGTACTGGGAGTCCCATCGCCGGTAGCAGACTACATGTATAGAGCAGGGAGAAACTATCTAGACTTGCTACAAATTATCATGATTATGGTATATTTGAATATCAATTAATCTGATAATGATAAATCAATCATAATAAATATTGATACTTTAAACAGCTTCCTTTCCTTAAGATCAGAGAATTCAAGAATAGTCATTCCCATGAAACATGATTATTATTTGAAATGGTATTCAGTCTTTATCATGTTTATTGATTAAAATATTTCTTTCATGAATATAAATTTATGGAATTTATTTTTTAAATCAATTGATTAGTCTCAAGTCATGCAAGTTGTAAGGTTAATTCACATGGTTCAGTCAATTTGTCATTTATAGAATTTTGTATTTAACAGGTTGGGACCAATCACCCAAAATGTATTATTATCATGATTATGGTTGTAATATCCAGTTTTGGATATTATACCCTAAATTAGAAATAAATAATTGCAAAAAAGGGTGTTTTGGATTCAAGACAGGACATCACAGTTCATTACTCATTCATTAACTCAATCTACAATGATCTAGCACACCAGGCAGAATTATAATGGTAGACATGAGACAGACATATACTATTTATGAACTAAATTTTAAAGTTAAACCTCCAAGAATTAAAGCAATAGCTTTTTAACTGTAACTTTCCAGTTATGGTTTATGTAAAAAAGATACTTTACATATTATATATATATGAATTTTATTATACTAAAAGTCATCGTTAAACATGTTAAATTAATCAAAGAAAAACACAATATCCTTAGGCCTTAATTCCAGTATAGTCATTTCTTGAAACTTAAAGCTCAAATTTGATTTTAAAATTGCAATTGAGTACAAGTTATCTCCCTTATTGGGAAGTACATAGAAAACTATGTGTTAATACTTTAATTATATACAAACATTTCCAGCTTTATAATTGATTTTGAGTACAAGTATGCTGGAAGCAAAAAGACCATTAATAATTTCTAAACTATATAAACCACTTATTATTTTATTTTATCATCTTTAAATTATCAGGGATTAAATACAGCAAATCGTTGACTCTTCATTGCTGCAGAGCAGTTCTACTGCCCAATATGGGTAAAAAAGGAGTAAAATTCAAAATTCCAGGGAAAAATTCTGAAACGGTCTAGCTATGCTTGTATCAGCTGTGTATTTGACCCACATACTTGACTTACATGTACTTATACAGAAATACATCTGTTAGAGATGTCTCAACACACATGTAACATGTGTAATGATGTAGAAAAATGTATATAGCTTCATGAAAAAATGTAACATGCAATATATATGGCATCACAAGACAAATGACATTTCATCATTGGTCAAATACTCTTTATATAACACATTATCAGCCAATCAAAATGTTTCAGTGTGTCCTTTTTGACAATGTTAGGAAGATGCAATACTTTAAATTCAGGAATATTGCATGCATTTATTATTGCAATTTTGACATTTTAGACCAAAATGCGATTATTATTTTTGCGATACTGAGAAAAATCCTGCTTCATTCAAATCCAAAATGTGAGTTTAAATTATTGTGATTACAATCATCTGAAGTTAACTGTAAAAAAAACTAAGTCCAATTATTAGTAAAATATGGAAAAATGAAAATAAATATTTCCAAATTTTTGTCCTGGATATTGTCTTTTGGTCATAAACAAGCTTATGTCCCAATTTCATAAAATTCCATGTATGTTTGTCAAAGTTATTGATGTCCAGGGGGTTGGAACCCCCCTTTTAAAAAAAGCAATACAAACCAAAGAACATGAAAAAAATAAGAAAAAAGTAAGAACGCCTATTTTATTTCTCTTCACAGGTTTTACACACACACCATGGTTTAACAGAATGTCCAGTTGGTATAAATGGCAAGGAAGAATTTTGTCTGTGAATGGACACCTAAATCTTTTATATTGACTGTAGTAATTGCTACTGTGTTGTTCAATGAATGTTTTATATACATCATACAGAGTTTTAGATGGCCGGACATTGGTATAGCTGATTACAGGTATATATGGATTAAAATGTAATAAAAGTGATGCACATCATGTACATTTATGATTGATTTATTGATGGTGTTTAACACCACTTTTAACACTCTTGGTTATATCGAGGCGGCCAGTTTTTATTGGTTTAAGAAACCAGAGAGAACCACAAACCAGCAGAAAAACTCTCAATCTTAATCAATCAAGGTGGTACATAACACTACAGGGAGATAGCTCTGTAAAAATCAGTTGAATGTTTTGATCATGTTGTATTGTTATGGAAATATTAAGCTTCTCAATGATCAAAATTAATGTTTGTCAAACTGTTATATATCCAATTGATTTTTTTTTTATTAAGTGTGCATGGTGTGTGCTTCAAGTTTTTTGAAATTTTTATATTTTTGTCAAGGGGTCAAAGTAAATATTTTGTGAAAATCTTACGAAAATTAAACGAGCCAAATTAATTTTAGTCAAGGTGTTTGGTACCACCTTAAGATCAGAAGTCACATTTAGCAAGAATTTTACTTTTACTGGTTTAACTGGAGAGCTGGAAATTGTTTTGTTCTTCATTTTGACCTGTTATAGGATTACCAGGCTATAATGTATGGGTCATGAATACATAGTCATCAGCCATTTCAAGAGAAATAATTTAAATAAGTCAAAAAGTAAATTCACAGTAAGGTTATTAATACGACTATTAGTAAGGGAATATTACTTGCAGCACAATCTAGACATCCAGAATGAAGCACCCAAGTTGTCAGAATTCTGAAAAATCAGATTGATAAATGACATGATCTGACCTTCAAGAAAAAATACATATTTTTTACTGAAGTTGCATGAACAGATGTATGCTCTATTAACTTTAAGTTTTTAAAGGACATTATGTCTCTAATCACAGAATGGGTAATGGACTGCATTTGCCATGTTTGCTCTGTACATTTTTATTCTTATTTCTTTACATATTACTCAACTTCTGTATTATGGAATAATTTGATGTTGGTCTGGAACTTTAAAATGATCACTTATACCATGTAAGTGATTTTCAGATTTGTCAGACAGTTACTGCCTGTTTGATAAAACTTTGAATTTTTTCTAATGACCGGAATTATACTTTGCAGGATAATGTTTGCAACTCCTGGTTTAATCTTTACACCATATCTCTCAAAATATCAGAATTTGAAAATGTTTTGAAATTTTATTTTCAAGAAATTATGAAGAAGAGCAAGTCATATTACTGGTATCTGATCCACAACTACAAGGGTACCAGATGGAACCACCATTTCCCATAGGTTCATTTTCAAGATGGGACATAGATAGGTATTTTAATTCTTTTTAATGTTCCTATTTTAGAGTTATATGTAAATAGGTTTATATTAAAAATCTTAAGTTTCATGTTAATTTTATCATTGATGTGGTTATTCTAACTACGGTAACTTAAGATAGTCAGCTGCTATGAAATGATAACTAAAACATTCTTGTTTGAATATGATTATTCTTTCAGCAAACATAAAGCATACCATTTATTTAAAAGGAAACATGATTTTTGGAATCTGAGAATTATCTATAAACATAGATTAATAGACTATTTTCATATTACCGACTTTTGACTCCGGATTATATAATTTGTCGACTGGTAACCTTGGACATCATGGTACCAAGTCAGGTAAGAGCAAGCTAAAGAAGTAAAACCAAGCTTTCAATCGGTACAATTTTTGGGGAAAATTACCTGGTTAATATTTTTTTTTCACTACAAAATCATCAGAAAACAGTAAACTTTCCCCTCAAATTACACTGATTATATGTTTGATTTTACTTATTTTGGTTGCTCTTACTTGACTGAGTACCATGATGTCCAAGGTAACCAGTCGACAAATTATATAATCCGGAGTCAAAAGTCGGTAATATGAAGATAGTCTATTGATCTCAACCAAGGACAGATTTTTATGCCCCCGCCGAAGAGGAGGGGGCATTAAGTTTTACCCTTGTCCGTCTGTATGTCCGTACGTCCCATAATTGGTTTCTGGTCTCTAACTTTAGTTTGCCTCAACCAAATACTATGAAACTTATAAACAATGCTTATTAACACAAAACACAGATCAAGTTTGAATTTGGGTGGCGTCACTTTTACCATTCTAGAGTTATGCCCCTTTACAAATGGAAAAATTGCTGAATTTTTTTTTTCCATTCTCTTACTTTAGTTTGCCTCAACCAAATGTTATGAACCTAAAACACAATGCTTATTACCACAAAACACAGATCCAGTTTGAAATTTGGTGGCATCACTTTTACCGTTCTAGAGTAATGTCTCTTTACAAATGGAAAAATTGCTGAATTTTTTGTTTCTGTTCTCTAACTTTAGTTTGCCTCGACCAAATATTATGAAACTTTTACACAATGCTTATTACCACAAAACTCAGATCAAGTACAAATTTGGGTAGCGTCACTTTTACTGTTCTTGAGTTATGTCCCGTTATAACGTTATATGCAAGCCAGGACATCATCTGTGTCCTATGGACACATTCCCCAGATTTTTTTGTATACATTTGCAATTCACCCAATGAAAAGCAGTTATGATTTTGCATATTTAATGCATTAACTGTACTGTACCGATCATTTCTAAAATCGTAATATAATGATACTTTAATTTACTAATATTGAACTGCAAATTTCAGATTAACAAGAAAATCAATAATCAACACACTTAAGTCATACTAATTGGTGTTGTATATGGTATATTACTGTATTATACCAACATGATATTTTAAGAAAAATAATACTTATTTTTATGAAACCCTGTTCTTATAGATATTAACATTATCAGAGTACCTTGCCGTTAAAGCTGTAGCAGTGAGGTCATTGTTAACAGCTTTATTGCAATTAATTTTTCATCAAGTATTCAAAAAAAAAAAAAAAAAAATCCAGTTTATTTTTGTAGATCATACATTTATGATTAAGAATTTAAATATTAAAGGTAAAAAAAGAGATGATTAAGAAAATATTATATCTACATCTTAATTGATTAAAAGAATATATTCAAAATAAAGATAAGGAGATGTGATATGATTGCCAATGAAACAAATATCCATCAGAGACGAAATAACGTAGAAGGATTGCAACTATAAGCCTTCATCTGTGAGCAAAACCCATACTGCATGGCAAGCTATAAAAGGCTCTGAAATGACAAATATAAAACAATTCAAACAAGAAAACTTAAGGCCTGATTTATGTACAAAATAATAAACAAAAAAACAATATGATATACAGCACCAAATGACAACCAAGTTTTTAAAGTGTAATAGAAAAATTTTAAAGAGTAGAAAGAAAACCTTTGACTACTGATATTCAGTGCTATTTTTTTTCTACTGATCTATTAAACCAGTGCATAAGCTATCAAAATGTAATAGAATATAAAATTTTTATACGGTAAGTAATTCTCTTTTTTTGTAGATATTTAACCAGAACTTTTGGCTTAGTCTATCATCATGTAAAACCAGATATTATATTATTCCTTGGTGATTTAATTGATGAGGGCAGTACAGCTGTAGATGAAGAGTATCATTATGCTTACCAGAGATTTATCGATGTGTTCTCAGCAGCTGAATATACTAAAGTAAATATTAACAAGTCTAAATTGAAAACAACGTTCAAACTTATGATTGCTTTGGATAAAAACTGCAATTTTTATACGTGTGCATGTAAAACAAATTTCTTGGTAGAGGGGTCTAAATACAGCACAAACAACATTTTCCAAAAGACCAAAAAGTGAAAAAGTATATTTTAACAAAACGCATTTGACTAACACTAACAGGTCGAACAACTGATGTTCTTAAACATTGCTGACTGCCATTGGCGATTGCCTAATAAATTGATCACCAGATGTAAAAAATGGATCTTACATATTAATTTAATACCAAACAGAAAACAATAAACTTGTGGAAAAGATGTAAATATTCGATACAATTAATAAGCTGTTGCTCATATCCATTTTGTCCAAAAACTATTTGTATCGTAAAATAATTTATTAAAACGTGTTTGTGACATCATAAGTGACCTTTCTGTACTATAGTGTCCAGATTACATTAACCTGTTCATTTATCAACAAAATTAACATATTATGGAAAGGCTAAAGTAATTTTACTATTTTTTCAATTTCATGCGCCAAATAATGGCTCTTATCATACTGTCTCCTGAGTGTTGCTTTTTTTTTTGCTGTTCATTTAAAATTGACATAAGGTTATTTGAAAAACAGAAACGTAATGTATTTGCCTGAAAATTTTATGACTATGTAAAAGGAAAAGTTGTGAAAAAATTACAGTAAATATTGTTTAATATGCAATGGTAGTACAGGTAGTGATTTTAATACTTTTTATCACACCTTTTTAGCTCACCTGGTCCAAAGGGATATTATGGGAGTGATTGCCTGTAAAAGACAATCTTTATTACCCTTTTTGTGATTTGGGTAAAAACTAAAAAAGAAAGAGACAAAATGTACACAGAAAAAATTATAAGCAATACAAGATCAACAACAAAGATTTAGTCATGAATTCTGTTCTAGTCAATAATGTTGAAGATTGTCCATTGTTGAAGATGCACATAACCTATACTAGGTGATATAGAGCGACACAGACTAGTTTTCTTTAAATATGATTAACATAATTGAATTCGATGTATCTCAACATAATGTATTTTTCTTTTTTAATTAGAAGATATATATTCCTGGTGACAATGATATAGGTGGAGAAGGCAGAGACTTCAGAACACAGAAAAAAGTGGATAGATTTGTAAAAAATTTTGAAAATATAACTGGTGTGTCTACATTTGGGTTCATAGATTACATAAAGGTATGGTTGTATAGATACCTTATGTTTCTTGATATGGTTGTTATCATTTTATCATTAAAATTGATTTTTACTGTGTTGCAATGCTCAAAATTACAAATAAGATATGTTAAGTCTATTAACAACATGATTAAAGAGGGAATACTCTTTCCCTTCTTTAAAATTATCTCCCCTTCAAGAAAGTTCTGTGGTAAGTACATGTACTTCATTTCCAAGGATTCCAAATTTTGTGGTTTTTTGTTTTTTTAATTTGTGATATCAGAATTAACACCTATCAAATACAGGTATATGGAAAATATGCATTTCATTGGGCAATGCTAGTGTAACACTTTTAATTGGTGAATTCTGTTTTTGATGGTTTATTAAATCATTGTCAAGTTGATGTTAAAATTCCTGAGTTCAACTCTGTATGAAAACATTGAACAAGTTGTACTTCTTGTAAAAGGAAAAATAAATTTTATCAAAATTAAATTAAAATTTTTCAGAAATATAATTTTATAGAATATGAAAGACTCAATAATACTTTATTGATTATATTCTAAGAAAATGACAACTTTATTAATCCCCCTTTTACTGATTTGTCATGCCCTGATCCCAAGATTTCAAAATAACTTTGAGATAGTATATACCATTTTGTAAAATCCCACAAACTCTTAGTAGAAATTAAGTACACATAATTGAAATCAAATACTCTTTGAAATATATATTTGTACATTGCAGTTAGATATGCAGTTTCCTGAGCCAAGATTTCTTGAGAAAAGAATGCTTGCTACATCATTTGGTGACAAACTTGGTCCTGGTATTCATATTCTCCTTACACACAACACTATTTTACCAAGAGATAAACCTTTTGTTATTTCTGTAGGTTTCATGTCTTTGGGAACTATTTAAAATCTGTACGTTATGTGCACAGAGACCAATTTTCACACATTTGAATACTTTGGATTGTTTATTTTCATGGATTGAGGGAAAATTGTATTTTTCGTGGATATTTCTTTTCTTATTTTGCCAAAGTCTGCAGAAATGCCAATAAAAATGTGTTCTTCCTTGACCTTTAAATATTGCGGTTTACCTTAATCTATGAAATCCACGAAAATTGTATGTGAATAAAAATGAATCTACAGTCAAAATAGTTTTGACCATATTGAATGATTCACTTTTCAATTGTCATTTAAAAAAAATTTCATTGATAATTGAACATAATAGAAAAAAGAATGTTCAGATGTGTGAAAATCGTTAATGTTAACAATAATCAGGTGGCTGTCAAAAAAAGATCTAATCATTTTACTTTTATTATATTCTAGACTTGCCTAACATATTCATGCTTTTTGTATTTTTGTAGCATAAAGCAGCAAGGAGAATTCTGCATGTTTTTTTACAAAAGTTAATAAGAAACAAAAAATTTAAACAATTTTAGATAATCATACATTCATGAAAAAGATAAAATTTGCATATAATTTATGTAATTTTATTGTGTGAATATACCAAAAAATCCTTTGGTTATTTGTACGTTTATTTGTACATCAGTAAAAAAACTGAAAAATCCTGTAAAAAACATGCAGAAGTAATACAATTGTTCAGCGACATATTTCTAGTGCAACAGTGATATTTTAGATTGGTATACTGTTATTGTCTTTACATTTTATTTTAATTTTTTTGGTTAAAAAAATATTTATAAATACATTTTACTTATTTATTCAATTTTAGAAATACTGTTTAAAAGTTGGAAATAAAGAAATCTTAATTTGCAGTAATACATACCAAAACCTCCTGTAGGAAACACTAAGTATACCAAATGAATTTCACATAAAAATTGTATGAAACTGTTGCATTAAAAGTATCTCTACCATCATGTTTATAAAAGGCCTCTTTTATAGTTTAAACATTACTCAATATAATTACAGAATCCAGAAGATATGGTGTGGGTTGTACGACCAAGAAAAGCCTCCCCTGTTCATGTTTTGGTCAGCCATTTTTCTGTTCTAGTCAGAGACAAAATGAGAGTCAATCCTGTAGGTTTTCTCTGAAGTTAACAGCATGATTTGACTGTTGCTACATCACAATTCATTGTTGATTTTGTTCAGATCTATTTTATTTATTTGCTTAGATTATAATGAGGTACCAATTGGAAGATTGTAAAGTGTTGTCAATGTAGAAATTTCGTTTGGAGGTTATTTTCTGATTATTTTGCATTGAATGAATGAAATTCTCCCCCTTGGATATTAAAAAAAAATCAAAATGTTGATAAGAAGTGCAAATTTATCATTTATGTGTGGATAAGACCCTTCTTGAAAAGGAAATGCATTGAAATCCTGAAAATAACAGGATGTTTACAGTAGTCAGTGTGAGATACACGAATTTAACAAAATTCATCAAAGATGGGTGGACGAACAATCCCACTCAACTAAGCATATTACAGTTAAACCTGAATAAACAGAACCATGCTTAAGCAGAAAACCTGTCAAAAGTGAACTCTTGTGTCAAGACATGCAGTAAATATTCTATCGTAAAACTATGGTACCTTTATTATCCAATATATAAATAACACATAGCTGAGAGGGTGATAGAGCAGATTGTTACCCCGAGAAAACATTGTCAACTGAGGCGAAGCCAAGGTTGACAATGTCTTTTCGAGGGGTACATAACAACCTTGTCTTGTACATAACAACCATCCGTATTTAATAAAGCGCACACTTGATCAAGCGTCTCCGTGAAGGGTAATAGAGTATTTGCCATAGGATAGAGTCGTATTTAATAAAGCGCACACTTGATCAAGCGTCTCAGTGAAGGGTAATAGAGTATTTACCATAGAATAGAGTAAATTAACACCCTTGTATAAGCCAATCAAAATATTGCATTTTTACGTGAAGTATAATAAAACAAATTAAGTCCCTTAGGGGTTCCAGTTTAGCCAGGTTTATAGTTTACCTTGGTGGTCTGACAATTTATGTAATCTTTCAGAAAATAAAATCATATTTGAGAATCAGTGCTTCATTTTTCACATAGCATACACAAGAGTATTTTAAATGTACATATTAATTATGTTATTTCTTCATTGCAACAAGAATTGTGATGTGGAAACTGTTTAGTTTACTTTATTTTATTATTTTCATGATTACTGTAGAACATAAATGCATTTCAAGTTTTATTGCAGTTTCTGTGGTGATGGCTATAAATTTTATATTTCATATTAAAACCTTCTTTATCTTTTTTAGTTTTTTTTTTAAATTACAAATTTTATTTATTTCTGTGAAGTCAGTAAAGATCATGTGTTACGTGTCGAAATAATTTAAGAGAATTGATTTTTTTTTTTTCACATATAACACATATATTTACTTTAATTGATATTTTGGCATGAGAACAAACCAATTTTATGGATGTAGTTTGGAATGCGGTCAGGGTTTGTTGTAAGGAAAATTAAGTCATGTTTTGTGTTTAATAAACAGTATCATTTACAGAGCTTCCATTAATTACCTAAATTTATTTATAATTTACATGTTTGCTGCTTTATGTTATTTTAGAATTTCTTATGTTACTATGGCACTTACTGTGGATTCAATTAATTTTCATGTGTACCATTTTCATGGTTTAAGGGAAAATTGTAATTTTGTTGATATTTGTTATCGTGGTTTTACCTCTTAGTTTGCATACAAGCCTATGGAAATTTTTGCTTCATTGAACATATTCATTAGTGGTTCACCTATACCTAGGAAAACCATGAAAATTGGTCCCAAACCAATAATGATGAATCCACAGTATGCCTGTTAACTGCTACAATCCTTTTTAATTTACTTTGCAATATAAATTATTTGTTATTTATGTAATGTTTAACGTAAAAATATACCTGTGTTTCTAACTTTTTGTGGATAACCAGAAAGTTTTATTTTAGTTATTGAACAAGCACTGTTACATTCAAAATGGGTCAACTATACTTATTAAAAACATTTTTGCAACATAAATTTTTATTAAAAAACTTTAAAATAGAAATACTTTATGATTTTTAATTCCAAATAAGAAAATTTAAATAATGTTTTATCCAATTGAAAATTTAGTTAAGTAAAGTCACATCAAATCAACAAACATTTGGAATTTCCTGTTTGAAAGAAAAAAAATTCCCAGTTTGATATAAAAAAAGCGGTTCCCTGACACTCACATTAAAGGACAAAGTATATAAAGGCCACTTTTTTGGTCCCCCTAAATTCGAAAATCAAAAATTTGTAGAAAACTGCCAAATAACACACTTCAGATGTTCATAAGACAATAGACTATCAGTCATCAGTATATTTTGTATTTACATTTATGAATTTTGATTTACATATTTGCATAAGGGCTTCAAATTTGGTGAACAACTGCAAAAGATGCCAAAATAGCTTCAATTTGAGATCTTGTATAGTCAATATTAAGATATGAGCAACAGCTTTACCCAAACAGATATTTTGTATTTCATGAAGATGCAAATTCGTGTAAAATATCTTTTTGGGTAAGGCCAATGCTCATGTCTTTTTTTTTAACAAAACCATCATGAAAAATTACCATTATAGGTCAAATATGACAATTTCTACATGTTTATGATGTCATAGCAACATCACAAGTGACCTGTCTGCACTAAAATGTCCAGATTATATCAGCCTGTTCATCTATCAATGAAATTCAACATATTTTTGAAAGACTGGAATGATTTTACTTTTTTTTTCAATTCAGGGGCCAAATATATTATCATACCACCCCCATTTCAAATAACTGGAATAACTAAAATTTATAATTGAGTTTTTGTACAATAAAAATTGCATCTCATGCTTATTTTCTTCATAACAATAATTTATGTATTGTTATGTTTAGAAGTATAGTTAATTTTTAAAATATGAAATAAAAAATATTTATTTGTTGTTTAACTTTTGAGCTCACCTGGCCATAAAGGCCAAGTGAGCTATTGCTATTATTTTAGTGTCCTTCCACATTGTCGTTGTGGAAACTTTTTTCAAAGATCTTCTCCTCTGAAATTATCAAACCAATTTCAACCAAAATTGGGGTGAATGATACTTAGGGTATGTAGTATAAAGTTGACGTTTTTCCCCAATCAATCAATAAACATGGCCCCAATGGCTAAAAATAGAACATTAGGCAAAATGCATTAATTGTCATATCTTGAAAACTTTAAAAGATAGGGAAAATTTGACAGGCACAAATGCTTAGAATATCAAGAATTAACTCCTTCCTATTTTCAAATGAATTATCAGATGACTTATTAAGGAGTAATTGCTTGTAAATGATGATTTTTTTGGCTAATTTTCATGTTTTTGCATAATACTTTTAAATCTATATTAGATAGTTAGAAAATGTTAAAAGCAAAAATGATCAGCCATTGAAGAGCTACAAAAATTCCAATATGACTAAAACCATTGGATGACTCTGTGAAGAGTAATTGCTCTTACATGACGATTTTTTACTATTTTTTATGTTTTGCCTCTTATCTTGAAACTATAATAGATAGGAAGAAACTGTAAACAGCAAAAATACTGTAAATTCAGAAATTATTGCATGTATTTATTATTGCCATTGTTGAAGAATGGAAAAAAATGTGAGTTTAATTATTGTGATTTCAGGAAAATCTGCATACAGATATATGTATCAAATATCAGAATGGGAGTTCTTATTATTGCTATACTCACCCAGTCGCATGATTTGCATTAATAAAAACCTCACAATAATTTCTAAATTTACAGTAATCAGAAATACAAGATCTGCAAAAATGCCAATACAACCAAAACAATTGGATAACTCCAGAAGGAGTAAAAGCCTTAAACATTAATTTTTGAGTAATTTTTTTGTCATATACTTTTTCAAAAGCCTTCTCTGAAACTACTGTACCAATTTCAACAAAACTGGGGGTGAATGATCCTTAGGGTATTTTGTTTAAAGTCTGTTTTCGGTTCATTTTGTCAATAAACTTGGCTGCTATTGCTAAAAAAAGAACATAAGGGTAAAATGCATTTATTGTCATATCTTGACAACCATAATAGAAAGCAAAGATGCTAAGAGTGTCATTCAAGAATTACCTATCTCCAATTTTCACCAAATAATATTGTTGCATTGTATCAATTAATTTATGGCATAAATGGCAGGTGAGCGATACAGGCTTTTGTGAAATTCTTGTATTTTTCATTGAGTATAAACTTCAAAATTTTTTGACAAAAAAACGTTTTTTGTTTACTTTCATATGATTATTTTTGTGACATGTTTGCCAAAACGCAAGTGTGATATTTTGGTCAATATTATTCATAAAACATATTTATATATAGTGGTAATATTATTTTACTGGTTTGTTCAATATTAAATTTATTACATATATAATAACTTAAAGTTTTTGAATTATTTTTTTAAAATAATTTTATAAGAAAGTAAGATGAAAATATTTCACAATGAATATTTAATAGATACATAATTTTTACATTAGTTTCTACTGATCAGAGACATTTTTTCAATATAAGAGACTTTCTAGTTATAAGATAGATTGTTGTATGATAGTATTAAACTTTATTTTTTTTGTATTTAATATCCTTACTTGACTTAATTTTATAGATCCTGCAGCAAGTCCGTCCTCACCTGATATTCTCAGGACACTGGCATAAGGTAGGTTGTTTTATGGTATTTCAGTGGGTAAAAGATCTGGATATTTCATATCTTGTATACATACCTTATGTTATGAAGTTTCCGTCTTTCATATGTCCATTGTCCTTGACCTCATTTTCATGGTCCAGCAACTGCTTGAAATTTTTTTTATAGTTTTTTGTCATGCGAATTTCTCACTTATTTTTGGTATATAGGTTCCTTGCAAGGTCTACATGTCTGTCAGACAGGGTTCAACTGACCTCAAACTCAGTTCATGGATCAGTGATCAAGGTGAAGATTTCGTGGTCAAGTCTGTATCTTAGATACTGCAAGCAATAGGTCAACTTTATTTGTTGTATGGATTGATTGTATAAAGGTGTACATGTCTGTCTTGGCAGGGTTCATATGACCTTGACCTCATTTTCATGGTTCATTGGTCAATGATTAGTTTATTGTGGTTTGGACTGTTTTTCAAGTACATTTGTACTTTAAGCAATAGGATCACTATTTTTAGTGTATGGAATGATTGTAAAAAAATCAATCAAGATAAGTAAAGAAGGCAACATTTCAGAGTACTTTTGTTGTATTATTTAGTTGCTGTCTTGTTAGCATACTAGTAATACCTCACATTTTCTTTTATTTTTTGGGGTTATTTCCAGCTAGGTTTTTTAATTGCATATCAAATCTTTACAAACTTTTGAAACAATTTCTGTTTTACTAGGCCACCTCAAGTTTGTTCATTAATGCAACTCATCTTATACACCTCTGAAATCATGTCGAAAGGGATGTATTTTTGATGATTTATTGATATTCTTTTCAGTCATATTCAGGATTAGGACATGTTTATTTGATATTAAAATGATTTTTTCAACTTCAAACTTTATCTCATGCTCTTTTAGTCTTGAAGTTACAGAAGGGACATGGGGTGAATGTATGAGACAACATAATCATACAGTATTAAAAAAATCTATAAAATGTTTTGGTTTTTGGTCGGATACTCTTCAATTTTGAATATTGGTTACCACTCATCAACATGATGGATGAGGTTGATAATCAGAAAATCTAAAGACGGGAAAGGATTTTTATTGAGGGGGACTAATATCCCATATTAATTATGTGGGGTGTAGTCAACGTGTCGGGGTATGTGAGATCATGTGAGCTTGCTCACTAAAGGTTCTTTCATTTTAACAGCTTACTCATTAAAACTACACTGATTAAAATTGCAGGCCAATGTATTTCTGTGCAATGATTGTATGAAAGATGATGACTCATCATGGAGCGTAAAACAGAGAAATATAGAAGACATGAAAGGATGGATGGTAACAAATTTGACAGAAAAACCATTCTCTATCACAGAAATCATGGTACCTACATGTAGTTACAGAATGGGAGTGCCAAATATGGGATATGGTGTGGCTATAATTAGTAAGTGGATATTGGAAAATAGGGATACTCTAATTAGTATGTAAATAAATTTGATATGGAATGTGGGTTATGGTAATGTTATTATTATTGTTATTGTTAGAAAATGTCAACATGGATAATTTAAATTACAAAGTTTGTCTAAGCTGTTAAAAACTCTTGAAATAAAATTAAGGCAGTGTGCAAAAGAAACAAACTAAAGGTTACTTGCCACATGTACTATATAAGAAATTAACTTACACATTAAACTTAATACAGTAAATCAGGAACTTTTGGTGTAGGGATATTTTGGCGGTCTGACTACAAGAGTAGTGATTTAACTTTTGAAGTGTGAATTTTGGCACTTTGGGTCAATACTTTTTTTCAATAAGAGTATTTTTTTAATATTTCCAACTTTTGACCTTGGAATTTATAATTTTTTAGGTTGCCTACTCGTTGGTAAGACATTCTGGTACTTGCTCAAGTGAGAGCAACTAAAGAAAGAAAAATCAAGCTTAAAAGCTTAAAATTTGGGGAAACAATTTATTGCTTTCTGATGATTTTGTCTTGGATAGAAAACACAAAACAGTTAAAATTTACCCAAATTGTACCAATTGTACTTTATTTAGCCTTTTTAACTTTTTTTTATTCGAGCGTCACTGATGAGTCTTTTGTAGACAAAATGCGCGTCTGGCGCAAGTACAAATTTCAATCCTGGTATCTATGATGAGTTTATTGTAAGCTTGATTTTACTTCTTATAGTTGCTCTTACTTGACCGAATACCTGAATGTCCTACAACAGTGAAGGTAATCTGTTGAAAAATTATAAACTCCCAGAGTCAAAAGCCAGTGATGTGAAAATGGTCTATTAGTTAAATTAAATATCTAAAATAAATATTGTTTTGACATCTGACATTAGAACAGATGGTAAAGCAATTAGAGTTACACGTTTATTCTTGTAATGAAATGGATTATAAACTGTTACATTTGATGTGTTGACCCTACTAATTATATATAATTAGTGTTATTGTGTTTTTTTCTTCTAATTAAATTGAATTACATAAAATTCAAAATTTTTATAATCTTGAACTTTGTTACAATTGTTTACTTTACAATTCATTGAATATCATATTCATATAAAGGCCAAATTAGATACCTCATATATAGGCTAATTTCATTGTTCATTATTATCAGTGTTCAAATTGTTCTACCTATGATCAATGAAAAATCTACCATTGATCATGTTTAGGAAATTTTTATTTTGAGTTTTGGCAGATTCATCTTAAGATCCAATAAAAACCAAAAAATAGACTACAGCCAAAAATAACACAATCTATGTTATGAATCAATGAAATGTATAATATAAGTTTGAGAGACCTACTTTTGTATTAATACATCCATGACAGTAGTCACTGTTTAGTTGAGGGTTTTTTTTAATTTGTTGGTTTACAGATCTAGACCAGCCAACCTGATTTTGTGATTGAATTGAAGTTTAATGTATTTTTATTCCCACTGAGCCAGACCCTACAGAATACATCATCCCTGAAATATAAATACAAATATTTTTATGCCCCCGCCGTAGCGGTGGGGGCATTAAGTTTTACCCTTGTCCGTCTGTACGTACGTCCCAAAATTGGTTTCCGTTCTCTAACTTGAGTTTGCCTCAACCAAATGTTATGAAACTTATACACAATGCTTATTACCACAAAACACAGATGAAGTTTGAATTTTGGTGGCGTCACTTCAACCGTTCTAGAGTTATGCTCCTTTATAAATGGAAAAATTGCAAAATTTTTATTTTCTTCTAAATATCAAGTAATTTTTGTCGAGCCTGCGACTTTTGTCGCAGAAAGCTCGACATAGGGATAGTGATCCGGCGGCGGCGGCGGTGTTTGCTAACTTCTTAAAAGCTTTATATTTTAGAAGGTGGAAGGTCTGGATGCTTCATACTTTGTATATGGATGCCTCATGTTACGAAGTTTCCGCCAGTCTTATGTCCAATGTCCTTGACCTCATTTTCATGGTTCAGTGACTACTTGAAAAAAAAGTTAAGATTTTTTGTAATGTTAAATTCTCTCTTATCATAAGTAATAGGATAACTATATTTGGTATGTGCGTACCTTGCAAGGTCCTCATGCTTGTCAGACAGTTTTCACTTGACCTCGACCTCATTTCATGGACCAGTGAACAAGGTTAAGTTTTGGTGGTCAAGTCCATATCTCAGATACTATAAGCAATAGGTCTAGTATATTCGGTGTATGGAAGGACTGTAAGGTGTACATGTCCAACTGACAGGTGTCATCTGACCTTGACCTCATTTTCATGGTTCAGTGGTTATAGTTAAGTTTTTATACAACCGCAAAAATTGAAAATTTTTTGGTCGTATATTGGTATGACGTTGGCGTCGTCGTCGTCGTCGTCGTCTGGCGTCGTCCGGCGTCGTCCGAAGACACATTGGTTTTCGCACTCTAACTTTAGTTTAAGTGAATGGATCTCCATGAAATTTTACCATAAGGTTCAATACCACGAAAGGAAGGTTGGGATTGATTTTGGGGGTTATGGTACCAACAGTTAAGGAATTAGGGGCCAAAAAGGGGCCAAAAATAAGCATTTTTGTAACTTCCAGACAATAACTTGTGTGTAAGTGTATGGATCTCTCTGACTTTGTACCACAAGGTTCCATATCACAAAGGGAAGGCTGTAATTGATTTTGGGGGTAATTGCCTCAAAATTTTAGGAATAAGGGGCCAAAAAAGGGGCAAAAAACAAGCATTTTTCTAGTTTCATGACAATAACTTGTGTTTAAGTGTTTGGATATTTCTGAAATTGTACTACAAGGTTCCATATCACAAAGGGAAAGCTGGAATTGAGTTTGTGGGTAATTGCCCGAAACGTTTAGGAATTGGGGGCCAAAAAGGGGCCAAAAATAAGCATTTTTCTAGTTTCCAGACAATAACTTGTGTTCAAGTGTATGGATCTCTCTGAAATTGTACTGCAAGGTACCATACCACAAAGGGAAGGCTGGGATTGAGTTTGGGGGTGATGAATCATAAGGGGGTTCAAAAAATTTGGGGGGGGGGATTTTTTTTCTTTCTTTTTTTTTCTTTTTTTCCTTTTTTTTTTCTTTTTAAATTTTCCATTTTAAGTTGGTTATTTCTGATTAATATTTAAAAGCAAATAATAATGATATGGTAGGAGATACACACCAAACAGGATGTGTAAATTATTATATAATAAGTATTGTGCAATAGCAAGAAATTTTCAATTGCACAGTATTGCACAATTGCAAGAAATCTTCAATTGCACAGTATTGCGCAATAGCAAGAAATCTTCAATTGCACAGTATTGCGCAATAGCAAGAAATATCCAATAGCACAATATTGCGCAATAGCAAGAAATTGTCAATTGTACAGTATTGCACAATAGCAAGAAATATTCAATTGCACAGTATTGTGCAAAAGAAGATACTTCGTATAAATTGCTTATTTCTTGATCAATTTCAATGGGGTCTTGAATTCTTGGGGTTCTTTAATATGCTGAATCTAACCGTGTATTAAGTTTTTGGATTTTGGGCCCTGTTTTTAAATTGGTCCACATTTAGGTCCAAAGGGTCCAAAATTTAACTTTGAAAATTTGATTTCATCAAAAATTGAATTATTGGGATTCTTTGATATGCCGAATCTAACCGTGTATTTAGATTCTTAATTTTTGGTTCCGTTTTCAAATTGGTCTACATTAAGGTCAAAAGGGTCCAAAATTAAACTTAGTTTGATTTTAACAAAAATTGAATTTTTAGGGTTCTTTGATATGCTGAATCTAAACATGTATTTAGATTTTTGATTATGGGCCCAGTTTTCAAGTTGGTCCAAATCGGGGTCCAAAATTAAACTTTGTTTGATTTCAACAAAAATTGAATATATGGGGTTCTTTGATATGCTGAATCTATCCATGTATTTAAATTTTTGATTTTTGGGCCCCGTTATCAACTTTGTCCACATTGAGGTCAAAAGGGTCCAAAATTAAACTTTGTTTGATTTCATCAAAAATTGAATTCTTGGGGTTCTTTGATATGCTGAATCTAACCATGTATTTAGATTTTTTATTTGTGGACCCGCTATCAAATTGGTTCATATTGAGGTCAAAAGGGTCCAAAATTAAACTTTGTTTGATTTCATCAAAAATTGAATTATTGGGGTTCTTTGATATGCCAAATCTAACCGTGTATTTAGATTTTTAATTTTGGGTCCCGTTTTTAAATTGGTCTACATTCAGGTCCAAAGGGTCCAAAATTAAACTTAGTTTGATTTTAACAAAAATTGAATTCTTGGGGTTCTATGATATGCTGAATCTAAACATGTGTTTAGATTTTTGATTATGGGACCATTTTTTCAAGTTGGTCCAAGTTGGGGTCCAAAATTAAACTTTGTTTGATTTCAACAAAAATTGAATATATGGGGTTCTTTGATATGCTGAATCTTACCATGTATTTAGATTTTTTATTTGTGGGCCCGCTATCAAATTGGTTCATATTGAGGTCAAAAGGGTCCAAAATTAAACTTTGTTTGATTTCATCAAAAATTTAATTTTTGGGGTTCTTTGATATGCCAAATCTAACCGTGTATTTAGATTTTTAATTTTGGGTACCGTTTTTTAAATTGGTCTACATTAAGGTCCAAAGGGTCCAAAATTAAACTTAGTTTGATTTTAACAAAAATTGAATTTTTGGGGTTCTTTGATATGCTGAATCTAAACATGTGTTTAGATTTTTGATTATGGGACCAGTTTTCAAGTTGGTCCAAGTTGGGGTCCAAAATTAAACTTTGTTTGATTTCAACAAAAATTGAATATATGGGGTTCTTTGATATGCTGAATCTAAACATGTATTTAGATTTTAGATTTTTGGCCCAGTTTTCAAGTTGGTCCAAATTGGGGTCCAAATTAAACTTTGTTTGATTTCAACAAAAATTGAAAATATGGGGTTCTTTGATATGCTGAATCTTACCATGTATTTAGATTTTTTATTT